TAAAGACCTTGGTATCTTGCTAAAAATGGATTAAGAAAACACACCTTTATGGCTGGGCTTTCACCCTGTGGCATGGCAGTTAATGAACTCAGGATGTCCCAGGAACACGCCACTGGTATCTATTGATGTGAGATATCACTTAGGTACAAGCCTGGAGCCTTTGTGAAAAAAGCCCCCCTATCCAAACATACAATCGGGGAGAGGCAGTCAGGTCTGGTTTTCTCCACATAAATGGGTGCACAAGGCACCCCACCTCCTTCTTGAAGTTGCTACACACCGCTCTGGTCCAGTCCTTGCACACAAGCTGTTCCAACCGCCTCCACATCTCAGTCTTTCTGCTGCTTTGCAAGGGCTACACAGACTCTTCTTTCCCAGATGCACTGGGCCCCAGGATGAGCCTCAGGAGCAGGCTCCTTCCTTCTGTGACCTAGGCTTTAGCTAGACTCCCCTTACCTTCTCTCTCCCCTCATTTCCCGGCTTCCAAGCCACATTTATTGTTTTCTTTCGGGACTAGACAGGAACCCTCTGTGGAGAGAGGTACCAGCCAGTGCCTTTCTATTTCTGAACCAATTTAGTAGGGTTCAGAGAATTCAAAACAAAGTCATACTTTGGTGCAAGGGCTGCATTGCTGGCCCCTCACCACTGCCTAGAGACAGATTCATTTCTACAGAGTGTGAGCAAAATAACATTGGAGAAGGATTCTGTGTGCTTTTGCCCCCTTTTGTGATGGAGCCCCCACCTGTTACAGCTAGAAGGCCTAAAACTTGAATCATCACCCTATTTTTGTTTTCCTTACCCAACCGCTGCATCTCAACTTTCCTGTTTTTCTCTGTCTGTTAGTTTCCCAATTTTTCTCTAATCTGGCTCTAGATTGCATTACATTACACAGTGGAAATAACACTTTGAAAGTAATATTTCCCCAAAGCAAAGCTGGATCTTTCAGACTTCACCTCATTGTTCACTTTAGGCCACTTTTCCTCTTTAGTCATTGCCATCTATCTCCACAACAGTAGTTAAGAATGTGGGAGCGCCTGCCTGGGAATGCTTCATTAACCCTTCCCACCACCCCCTGTGTTTCTGGAGTGGCCACAAAGCAGCTTTTGCTGCTCAATGGGCATGCTATCACCCTTCAGCTTTTATTAATTTAGAAATAAATATCACAGTTGCAGCAATGGTGCTGACTCACTGGTGCAAACTCACTAATATTGATCCATGCTAAAGAGAAATCTAGTTAGGCGTGTCCATGCAAATATGCACTGGCAGGCTAGGAGACCTGGTAAAAGACAAAAAAACACAACATTAATAGATATGGAAGGATCTAAACTTCATTCCCCATGAGGCATCTCTGAGGGCTTAGAAATAGGAGAATGATTGTCTAATCATTGGGCGGATTCAACACATGAGTCCCATCAGCAGGAGCCCTGTGCAAGGGCCCCCACTTACTTGTGCAATGGGGCTTCCCCCCTCCTTTCCCTGCAATTGGATTAGGGGGCAGAGCACCCCCAGAAAGAGGAGGGGTTGCTCCATTTGGAAAGTTAAAACGCTTGCCTAGACAGAACGATCACCTGCATGTGATGTTGAATTCATCCCATTATTTCATAATGGTAGTATTATAAAAGATGAGAACACTGGGAAACACTGGCCTGCGAGCGCTCCAGTTGGAGAACAGCCTTTACCAAAAGTGTCATGGACTTTGAAGACACTCGAACTCAGGATGCAAGGGAGAAACATGCTAAGAGAAAGGCTAAGAGAAAGGCTTGGCAAATCCACACCGTGATCAACTCCCGCCCGGAAACCAATGTCCCCACTGTGGAAAGACATGTGGGTCCAGAATTGGCCTCCACAGTCACTTACGGATTCACTGTTAAAACCGTGTTTATGGAAGACAATCTTAATCTTACTCAGCTACGAGTGATCGCCGAAGAAGAAGAAGAAGATTATAAAAGATGAACTGGTAGCTTCAGAAGCAGCTAACAAATCAAGGAGAAAACTAAGGCATCTCATGTGGCCAGACAACTATTATAGGCAGAAGCATATTGTTTTTTAAAGTGTTCTCAAACAGCATCATAAAGTGGTCGCCTGGGGATACCTCAGAACATTTCTGCTATCCAAGTCCTCTCTTCTGCTGACCTAACCAAGGCAAAGTATTGAGAGGCATATTGTGGATCCGTATCCACACTTGGGCCCAACCTGGGAGTCAAACAGATGAAGCAAAAAATAGTGACAGCTTGCACGGATCTGGAACACCATTTGTATTACTGAGAGAGCATTCACAGGGCAGGCCACTCAGACAAGCTCCAATGGAGATCCAATACCCTGTTTCAGCACAACATGTTCAGAAACCAGATTCTGAGCATTTCATTTGTCACCACTAGGACCATTTAGGTGATCTTAACAGCACTTACAAAGCACTCCACCCGCCTACAAAATGACAGCACAATCCTCTCTATACATGCCTACTCAGAAGTAAGTCCACTGAGTCAAGTCTGGATAACTTCCAGTTCAGTAGGTGCAGGATTGCAGCCACTTTCCACTAACTGCTGCATTGGGGGGGGGGCGGAATAGCCATCAGTGTATTTTAAGCTCTTCTTCCCTGAGAGTCAATAATCAAAATGCCTCCCAAATACCATTTATTTTAATTTCAATTTATTTAAGACATTTATATACCACATTTCTTAACAGTATACATAAAAACATTCCACAGAAAATGGAACAATAAAACAACAGAAAATATCATAAAACCAAACACTACCTTAGTCATATTCCCAAAGTCCAGAAGGAAGGTCCCTGTCTAATCTCATCTGGGAGGGAGTTCTACTGAATGAACAGAAGGCAGCACATGGTTTCTGGTCACTTTCAAAGGAAAATAACAAGGACTGGGCACACAATGCCCTTAGGCAGATGTCCTTTGAATTCTGGGCACTTGACTTTCTATGGACAACTCCAAGACTAAATTTTGCTAGACAGAATGCGACAAGCCCTCTGCTAGAATAAGTAAGCCCGCATTATGCTGTGCTCGAGGGAAGAGTAATATTATGTCCCTGACGAACTGAATCCAAGAATGAAGCACAATATTATTTTAAAGAAAGAATGGCAGACTTTTCTCGTAATGAAAGACGTCTGTGTCAGATTTACCCTGACTCTTGCTTATGCAGATAGGTGAAATAACACATACCTTGGGTGGGGGGCAGTGGAGAGAACCAAGGTGAGCAATGGGCTGGAAATCGTCAAGGGCTCAGGGCATTCGCTCTGTCAGAATGTACACAGGCAACAGAAAGACTCTGCATAACCCACATGTATTAACCAAACTCCACCGCCAGGAAAATACTATGATCCAAGTTCCGACTCTGTTGTGGTGCTTATAAAATGGGTCTTCACAGCTGCTTTCGTAGACAGCAGCTAACGGGAAATGGATGTGAGCTGTGGGGATTTTCTGTACTCTTCTTTATGACTAGCAGGATTCTCTGAAACACAAAGCAAACAAACTACCCTTCTCTTCCTAAGTCCTCATTGACCTGCTAGCAACTGTTGGATGGTAGTTAAAAAAGATAAGCAGAGTACAGTGGTACCTCAAGTTAAGTACTTAATTCGTTCCGGAGGTCTGTTCTTAACCTGAAACTGTTCTTAACCTGAAGCACCACTTTAGTTAATTGGGCCTCCTGCTGCTGCTGTGCCGCCGGAGCACGATTTCTGTTCTCATCCTGAAGCAAAGTTCTTAACCCAAGGTACTATTTCTGGATTAGTGGAGTCTGTAACCTGAAGCGTATGTAAGCTGGAGCGTATGTAACCCGAGGTACCACTGTACAGCGGGAAGTGGTTGTATTTCCCACCCAGGAATGTTATTGGACAATAACTCTCTTCATCCCTGACCACTGGGCAGGCTGGCCATGCTTGGAGTCAAACATCTGGAGGGCCACAGCTTTCCCCATCCCTTCCCTACAGAACAGACTGAGTTAGTGGATGGACACTGCTAGGCACTGATTTTTCCCAAAACAGCAGGGCATTCCAGGCACCTGCAAGTTCACTGGACTCATGGTGGGCTAAGTGCACACGGCATGAAAATGTCATGCCTCTGAGGACCACTATTCCCTAACGCCAAAGGAAACACATTGCCTTCCTTTCCCTGCCCTTTGGGTTTCTCCTCCCTCTTCTTCACAAAATAACCCTTTTTCTCACCACCTAAAGACTTCAGAGTCCCATCAGAGCAACAGATTACTGAGGGCAGGGAAACCATAATGGAAAAGCCCGTCCTCAGCTCACAGTACAAAGGATATATATACAAAAAGAATGGATTTATACAAATCCCATGGAAAGAACTGTATTCATTGTGCTACATAGGGGTTATTATTGAGGGACTGGTAGTGGTTAAATACCAAGTACAGTGGTGCCTTGGTTTTCGAACGTAATCTGTTCCGGAAGACTGTTTGACTTCCAAAACGTTCGAAAACCAAAGCATTTACTTCCAGGAAACTCAATACAGACGCCACATGGCACGCTTGACTTCTGAAAAGCGTTCAAAAACCAAAGCAGTTCCTTCCAGGTTTTGGGTGTTCGAAAACCAAAACGTTAGACTTCCAAGACGGTCGAAAACCAAGGTACCACGGTATTAGTAACTGGCAGTCTCATATGTCTGTTGCCCTCTGCAAATCTGTGAAAACAACTATTACGACAGACTTTGAAGGTCCAAAAAAATATGCCTAGACACGCTAGTAGTGCCATGTGGAAATGCAGTATACAGAAATATTTCTGCAAATATGAAATAAGCCATTATTAATAAGGACATCTTCATTCTACGGAAATGGTAGGTGGAGAGAATAACATTGCTGAGGTCAGAAACCAGGGTGGGTGGCTGCCTGGTGTTAGTGACCATTCATATATTTAACAATGGTGGTTTTCATGTGAAGTAGCAGAAGGATAATTTCAAAAGACAAATGTATTAGCAATATGAGTTTTGAGATATGATGTAGTAGAGCAGTATCTGTAACAGATTCACAGAGATGACCAGTACCAAAAAAAAATTTATTTAGAAAAATACGATTACATGGGTCAGGTGCAAAAAGCAGGTGCTACCATATTTACTTGCTGGGAAGTTCACTCTTTGCTCCTTGAGAAGAAAGGAAAGCCATGAGAAAGCACAAACAGACAGGATGCAGCAGCCCAGTGACCATTCTGTACCTGCGTGAATTTCTAGGGAGGTGGTGAATCCTACATCCACACCAGTGTCAGGAGGTAAAAGTGCATCTGTTTTCATTAGAGTCCTGTGAAACTCCTGCTGCTGACACCTCTTTTAGATACAATGTTGGATAGATTCTGGCAACATATTGCTTTCCTCTAGCTTATACAAGAAAGCTTATCTAGATGCTTTCATGAATGTAGAAGTCTGCCAAACTGTTCCTGCCATATTCTCTGAAGATTTAAGAGCAGAGTTTTCTATTTCATTCTACTGAACTTGCTCAGGTATTTGGCCATCACAGCCAACCTTTGCTTCTCATTGTGACAAGTGCCCAGGTATTCGACTTCCCTTCCAAACCGTTTCTGGTATAACAGTGGCTTCTAGGATGAGAAATGGAGGCAGTTAACAGGATTATTAATAGTGCCCACAGAGTAGCAGAAAATCCAATAAAATAAAACAACTTGCATTCACCTTCTTGCACAGATCAGCTTGATAAGCAATGTGTCAGTTGCTCTGAGAGTTCAGCTTCTGCAGAGGGAAAATGGGTCCTATGTGGAAACAGAAATGGGGAGCGGAAGACAGGGAGCAAGTTAACAACGGTCCTGAATTTTGCCAGGAAACACTGTTGACCAAGAGCTCAAGATAGAGCACAGATGGGGAAACGTGTGGCTCTCCAGATGGTCTTGGACTCCAGCTCTTGCCAGACCCAAGCAACATGGCCGATGGTCAGAGATGCTGGGTACTGGAGCTCAGCGACACCTGGAAAGCTCCATGCTGTCTTAGCCCTGCTCTGGAAGAAAATAAAAAACAGAGCTACAGAGCTCTACTTCTATGGATGGAAACCAAACACATCCAGACCCTAGAGTATAATGTTCTCTAGGGGCAGAGCAAGAATTAGCCATACTGTACGCACAAACTTGCAGCGATGGAACACTGCTGTTCCTAAAACTTACAGAGATTATGCCAGTGGCCTGAGGTAAATTACTGCCGAAGAAGGTCAGTTGTTTGTCTTGTATGTACTTTACTATCCTGCAGTTGGCTGGCTGGCCTTGAATCTGCCTACTTGGCAACAGTTTCAGTAGATCAGCTGGAGGGAGGCCTGTAAATTAAAGTGAAGTCCAGACACAGAATCCCTGCACACAAATGGCTGGTCTGGCAAATGCTGTGATGCGTCCACGTGGTCAGAGTATACTACGCAACATTCATTTTATTACAGTAGTGTACTCTAAGGGCACAGAGATAAGGCCAGAAAAGGGGGTTAAAACCAAATCCTCCTGACAGCTGATACTCCTTGCTTCCATACCTTGGCCATTTAAAAAGTGCACTGCGCATAAAGTAGTGCTTTAAACTTAGTATGCTGCCAAATAGGCCGTTTTACTTACAAAAAAGTCCAAGAGGTAAACATAGAAGTTACAATCAAACACTGATAGCTAGATCCCCCACATGAGACCTGAAACAAAATGCTGCCCTGCTTCCTCTCCCTTTAATGGGGGAGCTGCTCTTCTCAGGCTACCAGCAACCAGCCTTGCCCTCGATGGGGCTCCAGCTGGCCAGCTCAGTCCCTTTCCCTCTCTTAGTCCATTTCTCTTTTCAAACTGACACTCAATATTTTATGGCTCCTGGAGGCGACTAAGTCCTCATTGGGCTCTCTTTTTTAAGGGGGGGGGGAGGTAGGGAGGAAGGCTGGTCCCTTTTGTGTTTTAAAAAAGGTATTGCCTTGTGAATACTGTGAGGTTCACTAGAGAATGCTGGCATCTCCCACTTGTTTCTCAGTGGCCTTGCTTTGGCTCAAGTCTTTGCTGCTGGTCTTCAACTACCTGAGAAAGAGTGCCAACTACATTTTAAAAATTGTGTTTGGGTGTTTATAATATTTGTTGTTGTTGTTGTTTAGTCATTTAGTCATGTCCGCCTCTTCGTGACCCCATAGACCAGAGCACGCCAGGCACGCCTGTCTTCCACTACCTCCCACAGTTTGGTCAAACTCATGTTCGTAGCTTTGAGAACACTGTCCAACCATCTTGTCCTCTGCCGTCCCCTTCTCCTTGTGCCCTCCATCTTTCCCAACATCAGGGTCTTTTCCAGGGAGTCTTCTCTTCTCATGAGGTGGCCAAAGTATTGGAGCCTCAGCTTCGGGATCTGTCCTTCCAGTGAGCACTCAGGGCTGATTTCCTTCAGAATTGATAGGCTTGATCTTCTTGCAGTCCATGGGACTCTCAAGAGTCTCCTTCAGCATATAATATTTAACCAGCAGTAAAATTAAGAATTAAAATATTCCCCCAGAATGCTAATAACTTTCTGAACTAAAAGAGGGTTGGGCATCTGCAGCTATCACTGGAGAAGAAATTCTATGGAAGTGTAGGAGCTTCTGAAAAGGCCTGGCTCCCACTCCCAGCTCTCTCAAATGAAATTGGGGAAGCCGCTCCCCAGCCCATCTTAATTGATAGGAATGATAGCCGGTGACACTGTGTAGCCACACAGGTTTGACAGCATAGGGAACAAGCCAATGCCCACCTAAATCCCAAATCCACACCCAAATCCAGAGACCCTAATCTGAATCCCAACCCTGGCTCACTGGTCAGATCCACAGAGAGTACATGCCCACATTCTGAACATGCTCTCCTCCCTCCTTCGTGGAGTTCCCTCTTCAGAGGTGGCCCAGGGCCATGGGCATAGCCAAGGGGGGGGGCATGGGGGCAGCTGCCCCCTAAATAAATAAAATTCAATAAAAATACATAACAAACTGAGGTTCTGCCCCCCTAATAAAAGGCCTGCCCCTCCAACAAATATCCTGGCTACACCCATGCACTTTAAGACCCAAGAGCTTCTTTCAAGCTCAAAAAAGAGAGGTGGGGGTGCATTTCCCTTTGAAATGTGCACCCCTCACACATATATACCCCTTTTGGGACTTGGGGGAATTTAAAGAGCAGTTTCAGGGATAAGGAGGGCGCCTGCCACTTGGGAGGGGTGAAGGACCAGATACACATATGGAAGGCAAGTGTATGCTTCTCTATATCCTTGTCCCCAGCTGCAGCCTTAATGTTACGAGTCATTAGGATACGGATTGAAAAGGAAATGAAAACAAAACAAAACAAAACAAAACATGCATCATAAAGCTTTTACATATATCTAAGGTGCAATCACATTTGGGATACAGGTTACATTTCTAATTTGCACCACAAAAAAGGGCTAAAGCATTTGGAGCTCTTTTATATGCTTGGCAGGGGGTTGGACTCGATGGCCCTTGTGGTCTATTCCAGCTCTATGATTCTATGATTCTATAAAAAAGATGAATTGGAGCATGCATGGTAGACAATTTTTAAAAAGTGACTAGTTTGAAGAAGATACAGAGAACTTTCTCTCCCTTTCATAATACTAGAAACACAGGCTCACCCCAAAATTAATGATTTACTGTGAATGTGCAAATTGCTGCTCCCTGCCAATGGGCAGCAACAAACCACAACCCTTGATTTAACATTACAGATGCCCCATGGATTGTGCTTTGTTTTGCTCATACAAACCACAATTGGTAAGTCAACGACACACCTTTACTTTGCAAAGTGGCTTGTTTGGAGCAAAAAAAATCACAACCCCCAGTTGGAATATCAAACTAAATCCTGTATCACTGTTTGCTGCTCCCACTCACTAGCAAGGAGTAGTGGGAGCAATCTGTGCATTCAAGGTAACTATTTACTATGGCTTACCATGATGTATCACTGATTGGCAATAGGTTCGGGGCAGGAAAGAAAAGAAAAGAAGTATTTCCTGCAACACAACCAACTTATAGAACTCAGCATATAACATGCTACAGCTATTATCTGTGATAGCTAAATGGAACCTCAGTGCTTCGGCAAACAGCAGTGGGTGCGTGTCCTTTGCAACCTTGGGGGGGGGGCTCCTCAGGGGCCTCTGGATGCCCACAGTTGCAAACAGAACACCCTGATCCTGCAGATGATTGTGCTTCCATTTACTGTTGCGCGTCAGCCTGAGGCAGCTTTTAAACAGATAAAGTGAAAACTAAGAAAGGAAAAACAGAGCTCTTAGAAAGGTTGCATTCACCCCATAAATAAAAGGGGTATAGGAAGAATTAATGAATGTCCCCACAATCCCCAAACTCAAAAATCCAGTTACCACAAACAATACAAAGAAAAGACTCTGAAATACCTTGCATTCCTCTTTGTCTCCCAAGGCCTCTGGAATGTGTGGCATTCCTGCTTTCTTCCAAGAGTGCTTAGGGTCTTCTGAGCTCTTGCGCTGTCCAAGCACCCGCCCACCAGCTTGCATCAGCACTAGGCTATGCAGTTCTTGTCACTCTTAGCCAGAGATGTATCCAAATTGCCCAGAAATGACTGAAGTCTCAATGGATGGGTGAGCAGTATAGGAATGTGTCCAGATCAGGATTTCTTCCTTGTTCCAGAATGCTGCTGTTATCCCCCAATGTTTGGCACTGGCCATGCTACTCCTTCATTCTTCTTCTGGCATGGATTATCCCAAGGAAATGATTCCTGGCTGGGCCACAGAGTCTGAACACCCAGTTCCAAAGACTCAGTATTAAGAATTCCACTCTCACTGAATCCTGAGGTTTACAAGCATCTGGATACTTCATGGCCAGCTGGCAGCAGATCTGCAAAGCATCATTTTCCTTCATATATGTGATAAATAGTCAGCTTGTTAGGAAGCCACAAAGATAGTGATGCTGGTGAGAAGAAAGTGCATTTAGATCCACAAGATGTGCATTTCTAGAGGCATGGTATCTGCTTGCTAGGAAAACATGGCCCATAAAGAAGAGTGATTAGACCAGAGAAGCCACTGAGGTACAAAACAGTAGCTTCATAGACTTTAGCACCGATATCTCAACTTTAGCAAAATTGTTTTTCTTACTTGGAAGAAACAAAGGTAATTTGAACAGTGCAGGACAGCCAAGCAGCAAGAATGGAGGACAAGGTCTCTGGATTACTCAAGCGTGGATACCGCATTTGGGTTAGGTATCTACCTGTCCCTGTGAGACATTTATGTTGCTGCACAGCTGCATTTTGTAATCTATACAAGGAATCAGGAGTCTCCTGTATTAAAAACCACAAATTTCAAGATGGCAAGATGTTTCCATTTTTTAGAAAATTGATATACTTAATATGCTTGCTGTTTTCAAAAGCTTCAAACTTGCTTCTTTCTTTGTTTTTACTAATTTACAGAATTGAGAAAGCTGTAACCATTTTTCTTTCCTTTTTTATGGTTAAGAAAGAGAACCATAACCCACTGACTTTGCAAGATGCAATAAATATGCTGCAGATTGCTGTTCTGGCTCAGAAAGGGCAGGGTGACATTGGCTGAGCCCAAACATTCCTAGGCATTAACAGTTTACATATTATAGGAGCCAGTCTACATATTATATGAGTCAAATATTTTGAAATATTAGGGAATGGGCTCTTTGCAAGCAATTGGAAAATGGAAGGTCCAAATATTAGAATCTTAACTTGATTTCCAAAGCCATTGCAGTCTTGGGATGGCAGTTCAGTTCAGCAAATACTTGCCTTCTTCCATATGTTCTGGTCATCATCTCCAGATCCCTTGACCCCATGAAATACGACTGATGTTAACCGGTGGCAGGGCTTTTTCCGATGCCCAGCCTGTGGAACACTTTGCCAACTGAGATATGTCAGGTCCCATCACCTTATTGTTTTAGTCAGCCAGCAAGAACATACTATTTAACACCTGCCAAACTAGTGAAAATGTTGAAAAAAGAAAAAGGTAAATGCAATGAAGTAGAGGGATGCTTTTCCCACATGTGGTGGTCCTGTAAAGTAATCAGGGAATTCTGGGAAGTAATTTACAATACATTAAAAAATATATTAAAAAAAAATTCCCCCCAAAGCCCGAGGCATTCCTTTTGGGAATGGTAACAACAGAAGTCCCTAAAAATCAAAACAAAAAAATATTATTATATGCCACCACTGCTGCTAGAATCTTCTTGGTGCAAAGGTGGGAGCAAACACAGAACCCCCCCAAGGAAGAGTGGCAGTTTAAAATGTTTGAATATGCTGAATTGGCAAGCATAACGAACAGGGCAAGAGAAAAAGATGATAAAGAATATAAGGATGATTGGAAGATGTTTATTGAATATTTTAAGAACCAGTATAAACAAGTAAATACCACCTAGCAGGTCTTGAGTAAATCCAGCAGAATAGGAGTTAATAGAAAAGCAGGGAAAGGGTGGAAGGGGAGTCACCAGGTATTTAGTCTAATGTCGAGATTGGTATGAAAGCTGTACAACTGGGGGGTGGAGGGAAGGGGAGGTGGGATGGGTGCCTTTTGTTTCTCTCTCTCTCTCTCTCTCTCTCTCTCTCTCTCTCTCTGTGTGTGTGTGTGTGTGTGTGTGTGTGTGTGTAAGCTTTTAGATGGTTACAGTTAACACTGCTTTAATTTGATGGCTATTTTAGAAATTATTATTGTGGTTAGTTCATGATGTTAATAGTTTGGTTTCAGGACTGTACCAAGGAACAGGAACTGCAAGATATGCTTTAAAAGTTGTGTAATGCTTTGATTTGTTAGCTGCATTGAGTTTCTTTTGGTGTTTTTAAATTTGGTGTTTTTGAAAGTTAAAATATAGAGAGGGGTGTTTGTGTGTGTGTATATTATCTATATAGATATAAATAAACAAATAATGTGAATATTATACAGTGCTACGGAAAAGTAATGTACTTCATTTTCTAGAAAGCACAAACAAATACAGAACATGCTCTTTTCTGCAAAGGGACAACATGGAGCAATAAATCATTAATGCTGGCATTTTCAGAATGTCCATTTGTGGCAATTATAGTTACCAATTTTGGTGTGAAAGAATGAAGCTTATGAGTAACTCTGACTCTTATTGCTCACTACTTTCCTCTTCAATATGCATTTTATCCCCCTTAGGATACAATATGTGTGTTTTATACTTGAGATGAAGAAGAAATGAACATTTGAAAACAAAGTTTGTGAGTAACAGAAACTGATCTTGCCATTTAATCAGGCATTATCAATATAGTATTAGAGTCAAATATAATGCATTTCACTATTCACACAGTATTTTCACTAGCATAAGAGTTTTAAAAATAAAAGGATTCTTGCAAAGAGAAATCCTTACTGTCGTGCCAGTCACCTCAAGTAGGCATTGTGTTCACAAGAGCATATCCTCGATCCATCCATTCACACACTGCATTTCTCCCTGTGAGTGAATAATAGGGGAAGGTTGGGACTTCTGATGTGGAAGACACAACTTATTGTGAGAACTTTCTCTCAAAAACAGGATAGATGTTGAAACCACATGTAACTTCCATCTTATCCATGATAACTGCAGCACTTTGAATTTAATTACCATCATGGATTTAGACCCAAAGTTCTATTAAAAAGATACCAATGTTTGCTTGTTTTTAGTGTGTATGCTAGAAACGAGAAACTTACATGGAGACCTCAAATGGCACACATATAATCAACATCCAGAGAGGTAGCTGTGAGGCTTTCTAGGTCAGTGTTTCCCAACCTTTTTTGGGCAAAGGCACACTTGTTTCATGAAAAAAATCTCGAGGCACACCACCATGCCAGATGGGGAAAGGTCACTTTTTACTTATGTAAAAAAAAAAAATAGTAACAGCATAGAAGGTAATGGTTAGGCTAGCATCCCTCTTCCAAATATGCTAGGTTTTTATTTGCAGGGACTGTTCTACATGGGAAAGCATTCAGCACTGTCATTCTCCCATCTGCCATCTGAATTGGTACTATTCTGGGTCAACTTACTCTGCTGCATGTGTAGATGAAAATGGCACCAAGTGTGGGGGAGGGGGCAGAACAGGTTTCAGATACAGGATATTAAGCATACACGTACTTCAGATTGAACTGGTTGCTTGCTTTGCAAGTTTTCATTTCCCAAATGACTGCCTTGGCAAGCGCAATACCTACCAGGCTCAACGCCGGTCTCGCGCTGCCGCTTCCCGCGCTCTCAAGGACCCGGGAGGAGGAAGGCGTGAAGGGAATCCCGAAGGCGCGAAAACCTCGCGCATGCGCAGGCCTTCCGCCTGCGACAGCCCAGTAGGCCGGCCGAAGCGAGCGGCGATGGGATGTGGGAGGGAGCTCGCTCGCCACCCCGCGTGTGCCTATGTGGGGCACGTTACAGCCCCATGACGTCAGCGCCACGCAGGCAGCCAGGCAGGCAGACGGCGAGAGCCCCGCGCTGGGCGGCCTCTCCTCGCCGCCGCCACCCCACCTCTCGCCGCCCGACTCGCCCGCCTCCCTCCAGGCAACATCTCGCGGCACACCAGGCAACGTCTCGCGGCACACTAGTGTGCCGCGGAACACCGGTTGGGAAACACTGTTCTAGGTGCTGCTGGACTGCAACATCCCTGAGCACTACTAGGCTGCCTGAGGCTGATGAGAGCTGCACTGGGGATTGAGTGGCAATGACATCAAAGAGTACCACCAGTAATAATTCAATTATAATTTAAATGATTTAAGGAATTGCCAAGGTAGTTGTATAAGTTTAAATACCAGTAGAAGGATAGGAAACCATTATCTGTATTGAGATCCTGTATTGAACTTCTCAATTACTTGTTATTCCACAGTTTTACCATGGAGTCTTGCTTTGAAGTTCATATCCATTGCTAACTTTGCGATTTGGGCCTTTGTTCCTTTGTTATGTCACATGCAGCCCTCAAAGCAAGATGTACTTCTGACCCCAGAAGGGAGAAAGAGCCTGTTTGGGAGACAGCTGTCATTATCATGGTTTACAGACCCATAAATGCTTTTTTAAAAAACTCTTTCACCTTAACTCACACACTATGACCTTCCACAACTTTCAGAGAGATTTTCAGCATGGTTAGGGTTACACTGATGCAGATCCCCCACAGCCGGGTTAGAAACTCCTAAAGGCTCCTTAAACCAAGGTTACAGTCCCCAAACAGAATGTCTAGTTGCCATTTGGGGGCAATATGGCTCTCAAGTCTTATTCTTCAAATGATGGGCTGACTGTGATTGATTCTCAGTTAAATATCTGGCCAGTTCAGATGACAGACTGAGCTCAGTTAAGAGCTTTGAGAACTCAAAGAGGAAAAGTCACATTCCACATATATATTGGCCTATTCTGATATTTTTTCTTAATGGCAACTGCTCCTGTTCAGACTGCACAGAAAAAGCATTTTGGCTCCAGAAATTCATTCTGAATGTGCAGATAAAATATAACTGATAGAATTCTACAGGATGGAGTATTAATGTGAGAGAACAGTCCAGATCCAATGATTCCCAGCCACTTGCTTCCAGGTGGTGGAGATGTCAGTTGCCATCCTGGCACCCTGGAATCTTTCCTTGATCCCAGGTAGTTGAAAGCCAGGTGCAAAATGTCCACAGTGTCCACAAGGACCATGCAAGTGCCTCCAGGCCCCCCTCCCACTTGGACATGGAGCAGATACACCCTAAATTTGAGGAAGCCCCTTCAACTAGAATAGTATGCCCTGTGCTCTGGTAAGTTGCTCAGTACAGCTGCCCTCATAAGCTATGGCACAGACTGCTATGACACTTGTAGTTTTACACTGTATAATGAATAAAAACTCACTGAAAAAACATTTTACTTGAAAGGGGGATTGAGCAGGATTCTGACACCGTTCTTCAGAATAAAATGTGAGCGCATGCATTAAAAATGTAAGACAATGGAGCAGCCAAGGGTTTACCTGCACCTTCTTTACACAGTGGCTGTGAAAGGCTGCATGGGAAATTGGACTCGATGGCCCAGAAAGCAAGTTCCAATGAAGAAAAGGGCCTATTTAAGTATACATTAAAAGTTGTACATAATAAAAGCAGAAATGTGCTTTTTTTAAAAAGAGATCCCCAATGTCCAATGGGAGCCAGCCCTTGGAGTGGGGGCAGGCAGGTACCATTGAGGAAATGCCACCATATAGCTATGGAACACACAGTATATGCCATGGGCCTCGCAGGGTTTTAATCAGGCAAGCAAGCTTTACACTGAAATGTAGAGTCCAAGTGTCTTGTTTGCTAAGGACACAGACTTAAACCTTTAAACAAGGCTCCTTTGATTTTCTCATTAATACAATGTTATTGTCTCCCCCCACACACACACTATAAATAAAAATAATTCAACTTTACACTAGAAAATGTGGGGGATTTACTAGCAAAAGGAATAACTTTGTATGGGGGGGGGGATATTTAACCACTACAAGCTATTACTAGCTGTAAATAACTCAGTGATACAAATGAATTTCAAAGAGCAAAACAGAGCATAGAGTTTATTATTTCTCACCCAGAACACTTTTCCAGCTAGTAAAAGGCAGAGAACAAAATCCTTGGTGGGATGTAGAACATAAGTTTGAATGTATGTATGTACATAATGTACATAAGTGTATGTACATAAATGTATGTACATAAATGTATGTACATAAGTGCATGTATGTACACACCTAGCAGGTCAATTAATAACGCAAGTAATTTGCATTCCTAACTTGCAGACCATTGAGCAGATGTCATTATCGGTAGAATATAAACCAGTGGCAGGTAGGGATTGGGGAGAATTTCAATCCAGTACACATTTCAAACCAAATCTATTAAATCCATACTGTGCAAAATAATATAACTGAAACATTTTAATTGCCAAAAGCACACAAATCCAATCTAGTCCAACTCTGATGTTACTGGTTCAGCATGGGCACCAAAAGCTAGTGGGGCAGCCTCAGGTGATGGACTTCTGTACATTCACAAATTAACTGGAAGTCCTGCTCTACTAAGGAAACTGGCTGGTGTTGCTCTTACTCTTTTCTTTCCTATGTTCTGTGTTTTAACTACAGGAATCACTGCTGAGTGACACACGACCCTCCTTTTCCTGTTCATCTTCCGTTCTGAACTGCATACGATGCCAGTTCTGTCAGCAGGAAAGCGGCACTGGGACTCCCTCCCACAGTAGACAGAACTAGGCCAGAAAGACACTTCAGCGGGGAGTTCAGCCAGAATCCACATTCTGCCACTCCCTCCAGGAGAAAGATACTTTAGTACACAGATGTTTGCAGCACTACTGGTCTTGTGTCAGTTCCTAAAACAAAGATCTCTTCCTCTTCCAGTTGGCTTTTAAGGGGGGAAGTTGTGGTGGGAAAATAATCTACAAGAAAAATGCTAATATTGAGCAACATGAGTTTCTCTCTTGCCTCACTCAGTCTCTCCCCTTATCAGGCCAGCTTCCACTTTTAAAAAGCCATGCAGATTGTATGCATCATGCAGTGCTCTCAGCCAAACCTTAAAATCTAAAAACACAGCTTTTAGAATTTAGAATTAGAATTTAATTGCTAAAACAGACACCTTTTTATATTACTAGGTTAACATGCTGCAAAACTGCTATATCATCCAACTCAGGGCACAAAATATCCTGTTTTATGGATAATTAGGGTTGTGAATTCAGCATTTACTTCTCCTCTCTCCCAGTCTATAGACACTGCCAAGGCAAGTACCAGTTGAATGTAGGGTACACCCATGTCTAAGACTAAAAATACAGACACCCATTTTCTTAGGACTTGAGTCCAAATGTATAACCACATAACTATGAAAGAGCCATGTTCTGCCACTGCCATACCACAGAAATACATAGCCCTGTGTGCTATCATACCATTATTAGAAGCTGCCAACACATGTGCGCACACAAATGGATAACATGTCCTTTGCTAGAAAAAGTGACATTCACCAATCACTTGGTCTTCCACAAAAGCTTTACTTAAACATGCACCTGTGAAGCAATTCATTTTTCTTTTGGCGATGCACATTGAATACTGCAATGAAAAACCAGCTGTGTTCAGTAGCTGAGGGTGTGACCCTTACAGTGGGTTGGGTTCTAAACTGGGAATAAAACAGTAAGCATTCCCCTAGAAGTAACACTTTACTGAAGACACACTCAACCGCTGATTCTAATACCTAAGACATCAGGCAGTCAAGCAACATGTCTTCATTCAAATGTCTCAAATGAAGATGGCTACTGTATTATTGAGGATTAAATGAAAACTGAAAGTCATTTCAAAAGATAGATAGGAAAGTTTCCAAAGACAGAGACTTCACACTCTTATCCCTTTCTCTGCCCAGTCAATCATACATGAAAATGCAGTGAACATCAGGATCACCCATGCGTCTTTTCACAAGAGTTCAGAAAGGACATCATCAATCCACAACAACTGCCAAAACCAGGCCACGCCCAGTGAGTTCTATGGAACCAAGATGGGCCATGGAGGCCCAAGCAAATGCAGCTCTAGAAAATATGCTATTTGAGGAAACAGCTGAGGAGGAATGAAGTTAGCTTGCCATTCTCTATTTTACTTCACTGAAATATAATTCTAGGCAACACAATACAAGATCTGCAGGCAGACCCCTGGCCAGAAGCAAAGAGTCATCATGAAATCGGATGCATCCCTTAGAAGCTCTAGCAGTGCTCTCCCAGCCCTGCCATTCCTTCCATCCTCAAATAAGCATTTTTGGACTAAACAGCTCCTCTGCTGGCCTGAGCTTCTCAGTGTAAGCACACCTAGGCGAGAGGGGAGGGGGAAACCCGAGGCTCCGGAGCTGACAAGCCCGTGAAGAAAACACCCTTTGCTCGCTCTCTCGCTCTCCCACCCACCCACCGCCTTGACGTGCCGTTCGCATCGACACCCTGTACCCAAACGAAGCCAGGCTGCTCTCTCGAGCGCCGCGAAGGCGGAAAGGGGCCGGGAAGCCCAGGAGAGCGAAAATCACCGCCGCATCTTTAAGAGGGTTCAAACGAGGACAACCGACATCTTTTTTTTAAAGGCAAAGCAGCGGCGGCAGCAGCGAGAAGAGAGCCCTGCTTGCCTTTATGTAACGGAAGCATTTCTGTAAACAGCTTCAGCCCCGACCCCCCCCGGACCCCCCCCTCACCTGTGTGCACTCGGTAGTGGGCTTTCAGGTGGGACGACTTGCCGTAGACCTTGCCACACCCGCTGTAGGGGCACTTGTGTCTCTTTTCGGCGGCCAGCTTCCCCTTGGCGGGCGCCGCGCCGCGCAGCAGCGAGAGCGGGTGGGACCCGCCGCCGCCCGCCTCCTGCCCCTCGGCGGGGCTGTGCGAGGGGCTGGAGCCGGACTCGGTGGTCACGTCGCTGTCGGACCCCGCGTCCTCGTCGGGGCTCTCCACGCTGTCGCTGCAGATGGAGGGGGTCGGCAGGGGCCGGTACTTGTTCAGGTCCAACAAGCTTTTGGCAATGGTCACCAAAGTGCAATAATCCTTCCAGGCGTCCCGGGGGTCGTTCATCTCCTTGGTCACGGCGGCGGCGGCGGCCTCGTCCTCCTCTTCCTCGGGCATCTTCAGCAGCTCCGCGTCCCGGGTCACGTCGGGCTGGGCCGCGGAGCGGTTGGAGATGGACACCAGGCACTGGGCAGCCACGAAGTCCATGTACGCCACCGCGGACATCCTGCGGGCGCCGATGGGCCACGCTTCCCGCGGGGAGAGGCGGAGGGGCGAAGGCGAGCCAGGCGAGGGGGCACCGGGGGGCTGCGATCTCCGGGCGCTGCCTTCAGGCTGCGGATCGCGGGGGGAGGCGCTCACGCCGAAGGATCCACTTCCGCGCCTCGACGTTTACATAACCACGACCATCCGTGACCGCCGCCCCGGAGAAAGAGGGAGAAGCGCCGCCCGCCCCACCTTTTGACCTGGCCGCCCTCGCGCCCGCCGGCGCCGGCCAACTCCGGGAGGGAGCGCGGGCTGGGCTGCGATCCTGGCGGCGGCGGCGGCGGCGGCGGCGGAGGCTGCTGCCTCCTCGCCAGCACAGTGTCACAAGTGGCGATTTCAAGTAATTCAAGTAGCACCGAGGGGAGTTTCCCCGCTCGCTCGCTCGCTCGCTCTCGCGCCTCCTCCCGCCCGGAGAGAAGAGAGGCAGCTCCCTCCCTGTCAGGCGGCGCCCGGCCGGACCCTCAGCCGCTGCCCGCCGCTCCGCGCTGCTCCGGCCGCGTCTCGCTCGGCGCCCGCTTCGCCCAAGCCCATCCCGCGGCAGCAGCGCCTCCGCCGCCGCCTCCGCCCCGCCCGCCAGAGCGAGCCCACTCTGTTTACCTTCTCGCGCTGCCACTCAGAAGGCCTTTGGGCAGCGGAGGCGGGACCGCCAGCCCGCGCCGCGGCCAATCCCGGCTTCCGCTCGCCAAGCCGCGTGCTGCTCCGGAGGCGCGCACACCCCGCTTAAAAGGGCGACGCGCGCCGCTCTCGCCCGCGCCGGCCTGGGGGGCGGGGCGGGCCTCTCCCGCCCCCCGGCTCTCCCCGCCCCCCGCGGCGCCGCGCTGCGCCCCGTTTCCCTCCCCGGGCAGCTCTCCCCCGTCCTGCCCCGCGCCCTGCGCAAGAGCTCCGAAGTTTGCACTTTCGGCAGAGATGGGGTTAACTGGCCCGCCCGAAGTCCTTCTAGTCCCAGCAACCAGCGGGCCAATCGAAAGTGATGGGGTTGATGTCACTCGCCGTGGCTCCGCCAATCAAAAATACAAGCCGAGCAGTTCTCACTTGTAAACTGGAGAGGTGGGAGCAAAAGGCAAACTTCAGAGAGTAGCTTTGGCGGGGAGTGGGGGGGGGGATTATGTAAGCACGAGCAAAAGCCTGTTCCTGGCGTTCCCACAGATGGTGTGTGGAATGAGTATTTTATTAGATTACGTGGAGGCCTTCAAGTCTCTGGTTAAAAACAGAATCTACCTTACTCCCAAGGTATTTGCTCAGGGCATCCTTGTGGAAATAGGTGCTCCCTGCCTTCATGACGTCACTTCGAAAATGATGCAACAGGTAGGGAAAGAACCAATTCATGCCTAGTGGACAATTAATATTTCTTCTTTACATAGGTCTACCCACAGTCATTGCCTGGGCAAGATACCTCACGGAACTGTGGGAGTAGGCCACACAATTGCACAGGAATACACTGCCAAAGCCAATAACATCTTCTGTGAGGACATCCATAAAATCTTCCCAAGGTGAAGGCTCTGCCTCCAAGGCGATGGCATTCATGAATGAAACAATGTAGCACCACTGATATATGTGCCATGAGAACCATTTTAAGACCTTCCCCATGCTTTATTATTGATTTTCTTCCCTTTCTTCCATCATGGAACTCTAGGTATCTTGCATGTGGTTTGTAGGCAGTCTCCCATTAAGGTGATGATCACATCCAGACCTGCTTAGCTTCTGCAAGTTTACCATTCAGGGAACCCACCTAGGTGCATTCTTGTGTCATTGGATGTGCATAAAGGGTTGTGAAATAATGGTGGTGATAAAATGTGTGTGTCATACACAGCAACAAGAAGTCCTTTTTTCTTGAATGGACAAGTCTTCTAGATACAGATAAGTAGCATGTGCCCAAAGTTGCAAAAGTAACTTAACCGTAGTGGATGAAAATGTTGATCAAATTAAGTTGTGGGATTTCTGGTAACAAATGGCCTAAAGTCATTCATCTAAAGATGGGATGAATTGAGGTGGCCACATTTCCTCCTGGAATCCATTTATAAAACTGTCAACAGCAACAAGGGATATGTGATGGAATCAGAATTGGCTTAAAAAGTCATCTAGTCCAAGTTCTACTCAGTGCAGAATTGGCAATGCAGGAGCAGAATCAGTGATAGCCTCTTCTTAAACATCTCCAGTGAGATAAGAACCTACCACCTCCTGAGGCAGTCTGTTCTCCTGTCAAACAGCTGTGGCCATTAGAGGTTTCTCTTATGCTTAACTAAAATCTGCTTCCTTTTAACTTTCACTCATTGGTTCTAGTCCTGCCTGCTGGAGCAAGAGAGAACATGTCTGATCCATCTACTCCATAAAGGTCCTTCAGATATTTGAAAACCACTACCATGTCGCCTCTTAATATTCTCTTTTCCAGGCTAAACATATACAGCTCTTTCAATCATTCTTTAAAGGACTTGGTTTCCAAAATCCCTCACCAACCTGATCATCCTCTTTGTTCACACTCCATTTCTTAATGTCCTTCTTAATGTGGTGTCCAGAACTAGACAGAGTACTTTAGACATGGTCTGAACTGTGCAGATCCTATTACAACCCCGTGATTTGGGCACTAGGTTTCTGTTACTGTAGCATCACATCACACTGCTGGCTCTTGTTCAGCCTGTGATCTTCTAAGACACTTACATTTTTTTCACTAGTACTGCTGCCAAGCCAGGTCTCCCCCATCTTTTCTTTTCTTTTCTTTTTTTTTTGTACCATTGATTCTTTGTACCTAAATGCAAACCTTTGCATTTATCGCTGTTAAATTTTGTCTTGTTGTATTGACAATTCCTAGACAGAGATCCTTAGCTCTATTATGGAACTAAAGTTCCCAGGGTTCCGGACAATCATGTCAAAACATTTTAAAATGAGTAATTTGATTATGTAATGCATCCAGTTGTTCATTATAATAACCATTGTCAAGTCCTAGTAACATTTCCAAACTGGCTAGTGAAGCAGGTAGATTTTCTAGCCCAATGAGTGGATTCACTCCGCTGACTGCCCCCAATTAAATATAGTGGACCTACCTCACGGTACACCAATTACATACATTTCTACAATTTACCTTAGTCATTCAGAGTCTTAGGCAGAAGCTGAACAAATAAACAAGAAGAGTTTTATTTACAGAGACAAGTTTGTGAAACAAAGTTGGGCCAGGCAATTCGTTCTTTCCAGTAAAAGGTAACTTATCACTTAAACTAAATACAAGGATGTCACAGGCTTAAACACAGTAGTATGTGCACATCTTTTCTTAAACTTCAGTTGCTAAAAATCAGTTGTTACACTTCAGGTAGATGCTCAGGTTTCCAGAATAGGTGGTAAAATGCTTAACTCAGTTTCTTGTTCCTTTACTTAGTTATGAGAGGTGTTAGTTAAATACTTTTGATGCTGCACAGCTTCCTTCACAGATTAGCAATTTGGTTCACGAGTGAGGGCCACTTTTCCTCGGTTCCCCTCTCTCTTAACAAGCTCACTCTTGAGGTATCCCAGTTAGTATAACAGACCCAGGGGGTCCCCACAGCCCTTGTTACTGGTTTGAGGGTCATCTTTTCCCAGGAGATCTCTGGCCTCCTGACTGGAAGGAGACCCAAGAATAAGAGTGTCTTCCCACAGTTTCTTCCTCTCCTGCCTCAGACTCAACCCTCCAGTTTAAATCCTTTTTTACTTTCCCAAGACCCTCAACTGGGTCTTCCTATCTAAGCTGAGAGGCTATTTTCTCTGGCTTTAGATGTTCTCCTCAGAATGGATGTTCCACTCAAAACAGAGCCAGTTCTCCCTCAGACAAACCTCTCCTGATCCCTATCTCTCAACCTGAGCCCTATGTCTCATCTAAATCAAGCCCTATCTAAGTCTGTCCCTCAGAAATGGCTTCTTTTATTTTCCCTCCAAAAGTGCTGGCTCCGCCTCCCTCTGACTGGCTGTCTTGGGAGCAAATCAGAGAGAGGCTCCAGCCCTCTGGTGGAATTCTGAGGGACTGCATCTCCAGATGCTGGTCTGGCTTTGCTGTCACAGGTGCTTATTAGCTAATCAGTTAACTAATGGACGGGTGCTCCTGTTGTGGCAAAGTCTCTTGTGTAAACACTGAGCACAACCAACAGCTTTTGCTTGAGATGAAGTTCAAGTCATGAAAGGACTTTGAGATGGCTGCTTGCGTCCCTGACCAGAATGAAGAAAACAAACCATAAGCTGCCTCTAGTGGAGGGACAAAAAAGAGGACTATAGTGACCTTAGGGTAAAGGAGTGACAAACAGATCAGCATTCAGGTCAGAGTGCCATTCTTGAATAAAGGCAGGGACACTGTGAGAGTAAATGGGAGGGAAGGGAAAATAACATTCTTTATTCTTATAGAATACAAGCAAGTTCCAGATAAATGTGAACCAAGAGAGAGTTAACAGCTTCCCCCTTCATTCATTTAGATGTACAGAGCATACCTGAGGTTAGTGCAGATGCATTTCCTGTTTTATGTATCTTCCCAGCAACCTTTACAGATGGGGTAGTGGAGCCTGAAATATAATGGACTTGCCCCATGAATTCACAGGCCCATCTCACAGTGCCTCTCTGACAGTTTGACTTCTTCTTAGTCTTTCAGCAAAATATGTTGGGGTTCAGAGAGATAAGAAGGCAGTGTGATGTAAGGCAAACCTTCATTTTCTTTCTGCTTCCTTTACCATGCACAAAGGATAGAAGAAACTCCTGGACTTTTCAATTCTTGCATCTGTGGTGCTAGGAGCAAAACCTCCTGACTTTTCCATCTCTGTACGCTCTTCTATAGGCTTCAAGAATCTGTAGTTTCAGGAAACCAAGCAAGCAAGCAAACAATAAATACTAGTTACAAAGAAACTCTGTCCAGATCTCATTGGCCACACAAAATGAAGAGGAAGAAGAAGGAAAGAAGAAAGATATAAGGGAAGACAATCAAAGATAAAAGATATAAGGGAATGTAATCGGGTATATATAAAATAAAAAGGTTTACAGGATTTCTTCAGTGCTGAAAGAAATCCATTCAACTAGTTCTCAGTGGCAAGTATGCTAGGCATCAGGAGGAGGAGGAGGAAGTAAAAGTAAAGAAAAATGTAAATAAAAGTTAGTTACAGACTCCTAAATTGAATAGGAAAAGGATTCATTATTCAATAGCAAAAGAGTAACAAAGAAGTAAAGATATATTTCTAAACAGAGAGCATAAGTTGAGCCAATTATTTTAAAAAACAGAAGGGCTGAAATGAGACATGGATAAACTAACATGTCAAGAATTAGAAAAATCCAAATGACATAAAATTAAAGAATGAACTAAAGAATATATGGGTGAGATCCAATGTTGCACCAGCGTATGTAGCAGGTCCTCTCCTCCTTCTTCCCCTCTGCCCCCCATCAGCTCTTTAGTGTCCCCCCCAACTCTCCAGAGCATATGACCCGGAGGGGGGACTGAAGAGGGAAGGAGAGAAAGGGGAAGTCCTGTTGTGCAAGCAGAATGCCATAATTGAATATCATCCAATGGAGAATGGGTTAATGTAAATTATCTAGGATGAGTGTTGCT